AACTGGTCAGTCCGTGTGTCACATGTGTTTCGTGAAGCCAACCGGCTAGCTGATGGGTTAGCCAACTTCGCTTTCTCTTTACCTTTCAGGTTTATGTTTTTAGATTCACCTCCTGCTGTTGTTGCATCGATCTTGTTAGATGATGCTCTTGGGGTGTCAATAGTATGAAATGTGCGAATGTAATTTGATTCTGCTTCCTTAATAAAATATAGGAGAAATATGTCTCCTGCCTTCGACCAAAAAAAATATTAAGTCTCTATGAGATCATTTGTATTCCATCTGCATCTCTCTCCGTCCCATCAGAAAATGCAAAACTCGATCATGAATACAAGAGAAAACAAATCAGTCTCAATACCGAATGATCTCATCGTCGAGATATTCTCTAGACTCCCTGCAAAGTCAATCGCTAGGTTTCGTTGCGTGTCCAAGCGATGGGGTTCCATATTTCGCTGTTCCTATTTCACGGAGCTGTTCTTGACTAGGCCATGCTCTCGTCCGCGCCTCTTATTGGTGGTTCTCACATTCGGTGAGTGTAGCGTCTACTCGTCCCTTCAGCCTCACAATCCTTATCACAAGTCGTATCCTCTTCTAATAGCCAACTCAGCTTTTCATATGAAGTTCCCCAAAGACATGAACCCAAGCTTTCTTTCTCTGAAATGCGGATCTCAAATGATAAGAGTAAGGATACAATGCTTTTTATTTGCAACCCTAGAACGGGACAATACGCATGCCTACCTAAACTGAGAAGAAGGGACTTCTATATAGGGTTTGATCCGATTGACAAGCAAATCAAGGTATTGTCCATGGCTTATCCATATGGTAATGATCATAGAATTTTTGACATTAAGGTCTAGAGTGTAGGACCGCGAAAATCCAGAATGAAAATCATGAATCAAAGAACGATTGAAATCAATAATAAACGATAATAATTTATAAAATATTTTAATAAAACTTTTAAAGAAAAACGATACACGGAGTCGGGATATGATCTCTTTCTTTAATTCTTTAAACCTCCCACAGTATGGCGGTTTGAAGAGATTCAAAATCTCAGGAAACAACCGTGTTGAGACTAAAATCGCAGCACCCGAATATAGAAACTGCGAACTTAATAGTCTACGCTATACTCTCGAGACTTACCCTAAAACTGTAGAGACAAAAGAGATTTGCTGGAATTTGTGTTTGGAAGCTTATTGTTTTTCTAGATGAAGAGTAATAAATGAGAGAGATCATTATTTATAGTGGAAGAGAGACTTGTGGCGCAAGACATTTGCCTTTTTACTCACGAAAGATAAACGGAAATATTCTGAATATCTTTGTTCCTTGTTCAACAAGTTTAACGAAAAACGGAAATATTTCGAAAATCTTTATACCTTATTTAACAGAAGAAACACAGATATTTCAAAAAACTTTATTCCTTATTTGACAAAGATAAGAGAAATAAAAATATTCCGTAAAATAATTCGACTCAATCAATAAAGATTTATCGATATTATACAAAAATTATAAATGGAGTATTGACAATTTCATTAAATAAGTCAATAAAGTTTTATTTCAAAAAGAAATTTTTTGTGGTTTTGCATAATAGCCCTCATATTTCCAATGTATGACAAATGCACATCTTCATTTTTAGTCTTCATTACATGTCCACTTTGACTATTGATTTCTTATTCAAATTTACTTCGATTTTGATAAGTAATTACACTGTCTAAAAATCTATAATTGCCAAAATTTAAGTTCCAACGTAGAGATATGAGGTGGAGGAAGATCGACAATTCCTTAAACCATGGTCATGTGCGTGAAACTATGTGATGGTTTGTTTTGATTTTGAGAAATACAAATTCATTGAGGCAGAAGGGTTTCATTATAAGGGTAAATTAGGTAGTATTAGATGGAAGGGTCATGTTGGCAATGGCAATACCGTTGAGTTGTCTCTGTGGGTTTTAGAGGATGTCGAGAAACAAGCATGGTCGGAATAGTCACTTTTCCAGGAGAATGCACCCGTACACGCCAACAATGTTTCCATCGCTGGAGTGACTGCTACAGGTGAAATTGTTTTTTCGGAGAGACGTACATCTGAATGGCTTAACGTTTTCTACTTCAATCCTGATAGGAACACTCTCCAGTGTGTTGAAATCCAAGGTTTGGAGGAACATAGTACAGTTTACGCCTATGTAGACCATGTAGAGGATCTTAATGTTAACGATGCAAAGTACCTCAAGTCAATCCCACGCCTAAATATCATTAGGACAATGTCAAAACCACAAAAACCTGACCTCGGCAACTCTGCCCCATGGCCCCAATCTGTGAAGAACAAGCAGTCGACAAACCTCCTGAAGAACACGTACGAATTGTTGGGTAACCTAGAGTGATGACATGCGTTGATTTTTTTGTTGGCTATAATCTGAGTTTTGTTGTGAGTGTGATCACTTCTCGTTTTACAGATTTCGTATGAGCTTTATCATGTTCACGTCGTAACTGTGTTACACATACTTGGAAGCTAAGTAATAATGTTTTATCCTGCATTATGATATATTATTAGACGCTTCTTTTTTTATATCTGTCTGAATGCATTTTATTTAATTTGGATTCCCGAAGATAAATGTAAACACCTTTGATTAGCTTCAGATTAAAAGTCCAAGACATTAGTTTCAGAAAATAAAAATGGCTTTGGTAAAAAAAGTTTCTTGGTGGCTCTGTATCAGGAACGAAGAGATCAGCTTAAGCACCAAAAGGGTCTCTTGCAGTGTACGTCCAGAGGAAGAGGGATACACTGTGCTTGTGCCTTAGTTTCAAACTCTTCTGGGTAAAGCTTGGATTTAATCGTTTAATCGTCCAATGGGCGGTTTTAAAAGTGTACATAATTGAGATTTCTTTTGTATTCTATTGCCAGAAGAGATCAGATTTCAAGTGGAATTGGTTTAACCTGACAGATCCGGGGTTCGGTTCTTTCCTTAACCCTGAACATATTAGCTTTTCGTACGTACAGCGTTTCTCTCGAGCAATGAATCAGATTAAGAACATATTAGTGATACGTGATAGGGTTACGTATATTAAATTGATAGAATTAAGAAGTTATTGTAAAAGCATGTAGCTGTTTGGAACTGTCTATCATGTCAGACCAAGAAGCATACATACACACACTGTATGTTGCAAATTGCAATTAAGTAAACAAAAATGTTGCAATTAAGTAAACAAAAATGACAAGAGAGTTCCGTGAGCTTCCTTTGTCCGTGACACGTCAAGATTAATACTTTTAACCATTATTCTCAGCGCTATGAGAACTCTTCTTTTATTCTTTCTCCAGAAAGTTTATTTAATTTGGACTGTCGAAGATAAAAGGAAACACTTTGATTAGTTTGATAACGACTGTGTGAGAGAAACTCGGATTAAAAACCAAGACTTCATTTCAGAAAACAAATATGGCTTTGGTAAGATGTTTCTTGATAGATCTGTAGCAGTAACGACGAAAGAAACTTCAGCGCCAAAAGGTTTCTTGCAGCGTACGTCGAAGAGAATCAGAAGAAGCAGAAATACATTGTGCCAATCTCTTTCTACAAAATCAGAGAGAGTTATGATCAAATAAATTAATACCCAAAACGAGTTTATACGCAGATCCGCAATTGTATTGGCAAAACATTGTTTTTATCTTTTTAACGCTATCACATTTCTTATTTTGGTCAACTAACGCTGTCACATTTTATCTCTTAGAAGTAAGTTTCCTCTACAATTTCAACTAAAGTTATGGAAACAATGTGATAAAAAAATTGAAATAAATATAATCCATTTCTTATTATAAATTTTAATAATCTTCATTAAACTTAGGGCTTCATTCGTCTCCTCGGTGCAAATCAATTCACACAAACACATCCCGACTGATCATAATATCGAGATTGGCGGCGAAGTCAGTTAAAAGGTTTCGTTACCTCTCGAAGCTATGGTGTTCCATGCTTCTTCGTCCATATTTCACCGAGTTGTTCCTGACAAGATCCTCTGCTCGTCCACGTCTCTTATTCACGGTCGAAGGAGACAGTGAGTTGCGCTTCTTCTCGTCCCCTCAGCCTCAGAATCCGTACGACAAGTCGTGTCTTGTAGTAGCCGCTGATTTTCATACAAAGTTCTCTATAGACATAAATCAATACGTATGTGGCTATGCCTCTGGTTTGATATCTTTTTGGCTGTTAGAGAAGTCAATGGATGCGTGCCTGTGATATGTAACCCTATCACGGGACAGCATGCGAGCTTGCCTGAACTGAGAAGCTACTGATATTTCAGAACCTTTTTAGGGTTTGATCCCATTGACAAGCAATTCAAGGTATTGCTCACGGATTGTCATACAAACATTATTAGTACAGGAACTGGAGAAATGAGGCGGAAGATGTTCGAATGGACCAACATCCATAAGTACAAACATGAGCCTTCGTGTAAAGGGATATGCATCAATGGGGTTTTGAATTACTTAATATCCAATCGTAGGAGGAGTGTGATAGTTTGCTTTGATGTTAGGTCTGAGAAGCTTAAATTTATTGGTGGAAAATCATTTGGTTCGTCAGGTACTAAATTGATCAACTATAAGGGGAAGGTAAGAGGGATAGGTTTGGCGTATGATGAAGTTCATGCATTGAGTTGTCTTTGTGGATTCTAGAGGACGTCGAGAAACGGGAATGGACTTGATTTTGCACTTGATCCCACATTGTTTGTGGATTTTTTTTTTTTTTTCATAATGATAAAAGTTTAGTGCTTCTTTTAAGACCACTTCTAAGAGCATGTGCAATGGGAGAAACTTTAATGAGATTCTTAGTTATTATTTAATTATAATTTTTTTGTTAAGAATTTTTGTTAAGATAATTTTATTTGATATGCTCTAATGGTAGAATTTTATTTAGAAGTTCTTAACAAAGTTTATTTTAATTGTAAATAGAGTTTATATTTTAAATAAAACAAACGTGAATAGAGTTTATATTTTCCTAGAGCAGTTTTGGGTTGCGCTTTGCTTTCTTCTATAAGAAGATGGGCCATAGACTTGACAACTTCGTTGTGGACAATACCTGATTTCTGAAAAACACAAAACAAACGTGAAAAAAGAGATTAGTCATAAGCAGCTACTTATTTCACCGAGTGGATCGATCAAACGAAGGACTAAAACATGTAACCTCGGGTTTTTGGATGAGATCTTTGAGAATGGAATGGAGTGTTAACCAAAACTCCTTAAACAAAACTGCGGTTTGAGCTGGTTCTGCTAGCTTCAACCACCCATCAATGGTGACTGACCCACTCTGTAATGAAAGATAAGGTCTTAAGGTAGAGAGCACGTAGAACAAACCAAAAGCTATAAACAGAGTATCATCGTTAAAATCGTTTTCTAAAAATATGTGATTAACAATACCTGATGATGAACATAGATTGAGCCACTAAAAAGTAGAATGGATAGAGGAGAAACAATGGTTATATCTCGCGGAGATACTACTTTCTTTGATTCTACCTACAAGAAACAAGAAAGTCCATTATATTGTCTGTAATCTTTCTGTCCAAGCATATTAACATGATGGAACAAACTTGATGGTGATATGTGTCTTCTGACTCTTGCATGTAAAGATCAGACACATCTTTGATATTAAGCGTATGCCATTGATAATTCAGATGTTGTAAGATAAGTACCTCGCTACTTTTAGGAAGATTGATGAGCCCGATATCAGCAAGTAAAGTGCCAAGCTGTATTCTCACGTCACTGATATTTGTGAGAAAAAGCAACAAATAAGACATGAAGGATGAAGAAACCAAAACAGATCCAAAGAAACAATGCAGAATAGTTCCAATCTATACAATTACATAGAAACAATCCCCAAACAGCAAAACCAGAATTTAACATAACAAATCATCAAGACTAAACATACCCAAAGCCATTGATCCAATTCCAAGCCAGACAAAAGCAGAATAACTCTTATCAACGCATGAGGTTTCAGACTCAAAATGAAGAACATCGATACAAGAAATGTTTCCTGTAATAAAGAAACAATCCTAACCATATCTAAATCCCTTACGCCGAGTTTTCAATTCAAGAGACGTAAAAGAACAAACATGTTTCTATCACGAAACCAAACAAACAAGTGTCCACAATGTATGAAGCAGCAATATACGATACGAACACATTCGATCGATTCCAAATATTAACCAAAGAGATGAGTGGTGATTGGATAATCGAAAAACCAAACCTGGCTTGTAGAAGATAGACAAACCAAAATCAAAGAAAATAAAGTACCAATTAAAGTCCCTATTTTGCTCAAAGGTCCGAATCCAAACGATGATACTCTTCCCGATTTCTCAAAAGTCCCTATTTTTAAAACCAGTTAAAGGAATTCGATCGAAACCCATCAAAAAATCAAAGGAGCATCACCAAATTATAAGAAATTCAGAGGCAATGACAAGGAATTGGACTGAAATTATAAAAAAAAAAAAAAAAAAAAGCATCAAAGCAGCATCACCTTTGCTTCGAGAAAGTCACCTGAGGGATTGATCTTCTTAATCACAATCTTTCCCCCTTCTACGATCCCATCCACCAATACTGTCAACTTAATCTGAATCGCGAGAAGAAGTGTAGAGGGAGAGGAAGCAAGAGATCAATAGAAAAAATAAATTGTTGTGTTCTCTGATCTTTTTTCAATCAGATATAAACACGTAGCAAGTAAAATCTGTTTTTTAAACACTTTAATTAGGATACGTCTCCTCTCTTTTTGTTTAATTTTTATTTATTTAAATACATAAATATCTTAAGAAGCTCACTTAAGGTTACGGGTAGGCAAAATATCCGTTATATCCGCTTCGAACCGATATTTGTTTCGATCCGATTTGAAAAATCCGGATATCCGTAAAGCTTCGGAGCAAAGCAAATAGCAAAATGTAGTATCCGTACAAAACGGAGCAAATCACAAATATGTTTTTAGACAACGTCGGATATCCGATCCGATCTGTATCTTTATAAACTTATTATATATTAGTATATATTATTATGTATATATCAATTATATTATAAATTTTTATTAATATACTCTCGATTTTTTTCTTAAATTTTCAATTGTTTCTAAATTCTTTTGATTATATAAAATAAATGACTAAATAACCATTCATAAAAAATAATAATATGTTTAAACTTAAAATATGTTAATAAATAATATATTTGATATTAGTTAATAAATATCAACAAAGGTTTTTAGTAAAGTTTAATATTAAAGTTTTAAATAGTTAATATTATTTTTAAATATAAAATATTATTTTTTCCTCATCTAAATTTTGTTGGTTTAATTTTTATAGATTTTTTTATAAAATAAAATGTTTTCTTTTAGTTATTTTATAAAAATTGATGTACTTTCAGTTTTGTGTATATTAAACGGATCAAACTAAATATTCATAAATATCTGTAAATATCCGTAAGTATCCGCAAATACTTGTAAATTTTTCGGATATTCGAAAATCTGGATATCCGTATATTTCCGGAGCAAATCAAATCATAAAATTAAATATCCGTTAAAAACGGAGCAAACCACAAATACTTAAAAATTTCCGGATATCCGATCCGCACCCACCCTTACTTAAGGTACCGCGTTGCAGGTGCTCTAATAGCATTTTGTGGTTTAATTTTTCATCTAGTTTTTTTCCGGCTTCAGTTTATATATAAAAACTTAAATCTTGACACTTTTCAGGGATTCATATCTCATAAGGTTTCAATGTTACAAACATCATCTTGGTGTCTTCATCTCTTGTAGAGTCTTCCTTCAAAATATTTAATAGTGAATGTCTAATCATATGCTCGTAAGTCTTAACCATCATATTACTCTAACGGCAGAAATTTCTGACATCAGTGAACAGAAGAGAGACTTGATATTTGTTGCAGCAATCATTGGCGTCTCGATACTCCTGGTTCAGTTTCAGTCCGAGAGACATAGTTATATTAAGTTTGTCTGTTGGGGTTAAGTCGTCTGAGTTTTGAGCTAACCAGCCACCTCCAGAGATAACTTCCCTTGATAGTAACCTTTTAGCGGTATAACTTGGAGAGATAGGGATTAACAATTCACTACATGAACACAATGCTTATGACAAGCTCCATGTTTCTTGGATCACAAGTAACAAACTTTTTCAAAGTTGTTGCTTCAGCAGGAGAAGAGTGTTTTACAAGGACAGCAACTGAACCATGCTTTGCCCAAAGTATATCTGCATCATCATTATGATTTCAAAACTTGGACCCAAAATGCAGAAATAGCTACAAAAGTGACCAAATGCTTGTTTTGGGTTCATCGATTAACCTCAAATACTATTTATGACAAAAAAAAAGAACATGGTCAAAGTAACCAATTCATTCAGTAATTTACAGAAAGCTCTTTGTTGTTTGCACTTTCAATACAAACTTCTTTTCAAAATGTAACCATATAAATTCTTAAGCATATATCTATAACAGAGTTTGCAGAAGTGTCTTATTCATGGCTCTCGGCCTAAATATAGGATAGAAAGTACCTTGAGGACTGTGAGGAGATTAGAGTGTTTGAGTGTGAGTGTGAGAGTGTGTGTGAGCGTGGACAGATTTTGTTGAATACACGTGATACGGTGCAAGAAGAACAGATTTAATCTTGTCATGTTGACCTCTTCCCAATTGAGGTGCCGGTTGAACAGCTTCTGGAGAAGATAGTAAACTTGGAGATACGGGTGCTAGTGAAGCTTCCTTAATGACTGGAGAAGATAAGTCTGGCATAGGTAAAGGGGAGAAAGAACTTGTGCATCCCCTTGACGATGATACTGGTGTATGAACCACATTTTCAAATTCAACAGAAGAAGGCTGATGATCTGAGCTTCTCCTTAACAACAAAACTGGTGCTTGTGGAACATAGTCATCAACAATAATTTGCTCCTTAAACGTCTGCATAGGAGGTACAGATGGAGATAAATCCTCAAAAGGAAATAAATCTTCATTAAAAACCACGTCACGGGTGATAAAGTACTCTTTTCGATCAAGATCATACACACGCCATCCTTTTTGATTGTAGGGATATCTAATAAATGTACAACGTGTAGCCCGCTCATCAAATTTATCACGATGCCTTGTACCTTTGTGAGCATAGCAAAGGCAGCCGAATATGCGTAGGTGATCATATGTAGGCGGTTTGTTGAAAAGCATTTCAAACGGTGTTTTGCCTTCTAAAACTCGGGATGGTGTTCGATTCATCAAGTAACATGCCGTAAGTATACAATCACCCCAAAATTCAAGTGGCAAAGAAGCTTGAAAACACAGTGATCGAGCTACATTAAGAATGTGTTTGTGTTTCCGTTCCACCCGACCATATTGTTGGGGAGTACCAACACAAGAATTTTGATGCACAATGCCTTGAGATGTGAAGAATTATTTCAAACACATGAATTTGGTTCCCTTGTCACTACGTACAACTTGTACGTGTTGACCAAACTGCCGTTCCGTCATGGTGCAAAAATTATGTAAGTGATTTGCGACTTCACTCTTGAACTTCATCAAAAATACCTATACTGCATGTGAATAATCATCAACTACGGTAAGAAAGTAGACGGAACCGCACAAGGCCGGTGTATTGTAAGGTCCCCAAACATCACAGTGGATAAGAAAAAAAATTATTGCTGCTTTATTATCACTATCCGGAAAAGAAAAACGAGGTTGTTTAGCTTGTACACAAATGTCGCATAGAGCACTCGTTTTAAAACTAACATCTCCTAAATCAACAGAACTGGGTAAACTAGAAAGCACAGAATCAGCAGGATGACCAAGACGTTTATGCCATAAATCACGACCACAAACGGGACCAACAGCATTAACACGAGCTCCAAAAGCTTCTCGAAAATAGTAGATCCCATCATACTCTTTACTCGCTCCAATTATTATCCTCGTTGTACGGTCTTACAAATAACAGAACTTGTCAGTAAGACTGCGATGCATGATTTTTCTTTCAGCAATTTGCCAACTGATAATAATGTGTTTGTTAAGTTTGGAACATAGAAAACAAATGACAAGACAACAGTTCCTCCGAGATTGATTTTTCCTTGCTGTGTGGCAAGAATAACATCTCCATTTGGCAAACCGATGGGACATGGAGAGATATGAGACACATCAAATAATAGATTCAGTGAACCTGTAAGGTAATGAGAAGCACCCGTATCAATAACCATACCAGATAAACGATCGGAGGAACCTAATTTTGGAGTGTTGAGGAGGTGAATGAGATTGTTCCATTGCTCCTTGTTCAAGGTTAGCCCTTGCCCATCTTCATTCGAAATAACATGTTGTGTTCCTGAGGAATCTCCATCTGTAAACCCAACATTATTAGCAGAACTTCTGCCACCACGTCCTCCTCTTTGAGAGCCATTATTCCAGCCACCACCATGTCAAACAGTTAGAAGCACCACTTGAGTTTCCACGACTCCTATTGTTGTTGGAACCATCGGTCTTGTTTTCAGGGAATCCATGTAACTGATAACAATCCTTCATGAGATGTCCGATGCGACTACAATAGTCACAAGTCACTGTTAACCGTGGACGGTTTGTTGATGATGTCGTCAAAGGACCCTGAGCTGAGAACCCCACTGCATCAGGTCTCGCAATGGCAGCAACTTATTGATGTCTCTCTTCTTGTATAACCATTGAGAACGCTGTATTAAGGAGGGAGACGGCACCATGCAGAGAATGTTTGAAGGAATCGGTCCAAAAAGTACAGTATCGAGTCCAAACAAAAACTCATTACGCTGGATTCACTTCCTTTTTGCTATTTGGTCTTTGTTAACCTTGCATTCAGAATTTTCACAACAACACTCTGTGATTTTGTTCGTACTCCATCAAATCATCCCACATAAGCTTTAATTTTCCAAAGTAATCCTGTACTAATTGATTTCCTTGTTTAAGTGAAACAACACTAGCATGAAGTTCATAGATCCTTGGTTCGTTGCCTATGGAGAACCGTTCACGCAAACCCTCCCAAAGCTGAAATGCCATTTCTATGCAAGAAATCGTACCTCTTATCTTCTCACCAATAGTGTTCAATATCCAAGCTTAAGCATAGAATTGATCATGCCCCATAACTTCAGTTCATCGCCTCCACCGCGAGGTTTCTTAATCACACTATCGATGAACCCAAGTTTATTCTTTGCCTTGAGCGTATTTCTCATCAGTTTGGACTACCATTCACAATTGTTTTCGTTCAGAAGAACAGAGCATATGACTTGCCCTGGATCTGTAGAAGGATGAAGATAAAAATCAGAGAGAATGTTACTCTCTTTAACCGTATTGGACGGACCCGTCGTCTTCAAAGACGAATCAACAGAACCATCTTTTCCCGTCATTATTGGAGAAAAGGAAATAGAGAATTTTCACAAGCTCACGGCGAGATGTGTAAATAAAAAAAGGAAATGGAGACCTCGTCGGTTCTCTTAGAGACAATGAAATAGATAAAAAAAGAAGTATGGCTACAGCAAGCAAAGGATCGTTTTTTGTTAAACCCTAATTCTTTGATACCATAACAGAGTTTGCAGAAGTGTCTTATTCATGGCTCTCGGCCTAAATATATACTTACATGAGAGTTTAACTTAACGATTAAGAAAGATAATTACAAGAGAAAAAGGCAGTTCTATAAATGTACAATATAAATATAGAATATGTGAATATCCTTTCAATAATCTATCTACAACAACAA